TATATATACACACACACACACACACACAGATGCATATATCAGCATTTTCTAGATGAGTCTAAGATTCAGTTTCACTACATAATATCAAAATATCCAGGATATTTCCCAAAATTAATCAATATATAAATAGGTAGGAAGAGGGATACCTGGGTGGTTCAGTGGTTGAGCATCTGCCTTGGGCACAGGTCGTGATCCTGGGGTCCTGGGTTTGAGTCCCTCCTTGGGCTCCCCACAGGGAGCCTGCTTCTCCCTCTGCCTATGTCTCTGCCTCTCTCTGCATATCTCACGAATAAATAAATAAATAATCTTTTAAAAAATAAGTAGGAAGATATGGCTCATTTCAAAGGAAAATGATAACCAATGAAAGTCCACCCCAAAATGATTCAGATGTTGAAATTATCAGAGACCTTAAGGGAGCTCTTTATAACTATACTTCCTGATGAAAAGATAAAACATATTTAATGTGAATGGAAAAATAGAAATTGACAACAGATATATGGAAACTTTAGAACAGAAAATACAATATCTTAAAAAAATTCATCAATAGAGTGCAATAACAGAATAAAGACAAACGAAGAAGAGAACTTGAAGAGGAGTCAATAGAAATTATCCAATTTAAAGGACGGAAAGAAAAAGATTTTAAAGGGTGAGCAGAGACTCAGAAACATATGGGATAATATCAAAACATCTGTGTCAATGAGTTTCAAAAGATGGTAATAAAGAAATTGGTGCAGAAAAAATTTCCTAAAATGTTAAAAATTAGATAAAATATATAAATTTACAGAATCAAGAAGTTCATCAGACCCTAAACAGGATTTTAAAAAATAAAAAGAAAATCACACTAGAGACATAATACCAAAACTTTTGAGAACCAAAAACAAAGAAAAAGTCCTGAAAGCAGCCAGAAAAAAAATGATGCAATGCATATAGTACAACAATTATTTGAATTACAACAGATTTCTCATCAGAAACACTAAGGCTCTAAGACAGTGGAACATTTTAAAGTACTGAAAGAAAAGTATGTCAACCCAGAATTCTTTTTTTTATTAGAGATTTTATTTATTTATTCATGATAGTCAGAGAGAGAGAGAGAGAGAGAGGCAGAGACACAGGAAGAGAGAAACAGGCTCCATGCAAGGAGCCCGATGTGGGATTCGATCCCGGGTCTCCAGGATCGTGCCCTGGGCCAAAGGCAGGCGCTAAACCGCTGTGCCACCCAGGGATCCCTCAACCCAGAATTCTTTTTTTTTTTTTTTATGATAGTCACAGAGAGAGAGAGAGAGAGGCGCAGAGACACAGGCAGAGGGAGAAGCAGGCTCCATGCACCGGGAGCCCGACGTGGGATTCGATCCCGGGTCTCCAGGATCGCGCCCTGGGCCAAAGGCAGGTGCCAAACCGCTGCGCCACCCAGGGATCCCTCAACCCAGAATTCTATTCAAAACAAATATATCCTTCAAAATGAAGGCCAAATAAAAAGAGGCTCAGATGAAGAAAAACTAAGAGAATTCATTGTCAGCAGATCTGCTCTAAAAGAAATGTTAAAGGAAGTTTTTTAGAAGAGAAATGATACATGGGTAAAACTTAGAACTTCAGAAATTAGAAAGAGCAACAACAATCATAAATATCAAGGTAATTATAAGATCTTATTTTTCTTATATTCTTTAAAGTGTATTTGACTGTAAAAGCAAAAACTACAACAAAGTCTGGTAGAGTTTTCAACACATGTAGACTTGATACATATGACAACTACAGCATAAAAAGAAAAGCTAAGGAGACATATGTGGATATAAGACTTCTACGTTCTACTTAAAGTAGTCAGATATTAGCTTTAAGTTGAATGGTTCTATACCCCAGAACAATCATAAAAATTAATACAAACATATATAGCCATAAAACACATAAAATAGAATACTAAGGGAATTCAAATGATGACAAAGGAGGCAGACAGGAAAGGGGAAACAGAGGAGCAAAAAAACAAAACAAAACAAAACACAGAGGGAACAAAGTACCAGATATACTGTGTGAAGTAATCAAAAGAAAGTTGAAGTAATTACATTAATAAAAAAAAAAGACTTCAGAAAAAGGCTAAAGGGGGTGTTACCTTATTATAAGACAGTCAGTTCACCAACTGACAGTCCTAAAATGAATGGACTATTAAGACAGTTTCAAATACATGAAGCAAAAACATTTCAGAATGGGGAAATAAATTCTCAGTTACAGTTAGAGGTTTCAACATTTCTCTCTTGGTAATGGATAGAATTAGCAAGGATGTTGCTAGGGACTGAATTCTATACCCCCAAAATCTATGTGTTGAAACCCTAATTCCCAACGTGACTACTTCAGGAAGTAACTAAGGTTAAATGAGTTCATAAGGGTGGAGTCCTAACACCATCAAAGGCCCTATAAAAAGGGAAGGAGAAAGAGAAAGCTCTCTCTCTCTCAGTCTCTCTCCAAATACACTAAGGAAAGGCCATATGAGCACACAATGAGAAAGGGGACACCTACAAGTCAGGAAGAGAGCCCTTCCTCACCAGGAACTAAATCAGGTGGCATCTTGATTTCGGACTTTATAGCCTCCAGAACTGTGAGAAATAAATTTCTGTTGTTTAAGTCACCTGATCCACGATATTTTGTTATAGCAGCCCAAGCTGGCTAATATAGATATAGAAGACCTGAACAGTGCCATCATTCAACATAACCTAATTGACATTTATAGGACACTTCATCCAACAACAGTAAAATACACATTATTTTCAAGTGCACATGGAACATTCATCAACATAGACCACATCTTGGATCAAAAAACAAAGCTTAACAAAATATAATCAAGTGAAATTGTACAAAGTATGTTGCCTGACCAAAATGGAATTGAACTAGAAGTGAATAACCTCATAAATGATACACTTCAAAATAACTCATGGGTAGAAAATATTTTGAATTGAAAAAAAATAAAATATGACATATCAAAATGTGTGGCATGCAGCTGAAGCAGTGTTTACAAGGAAATTTACAACTTTAAAATGTTTATAAGGAGATGGGTCTCAAATTAATGATCCAAGCTTCAAGCTTAAGAAACAAGAAAAAGAATTAAATCCAAAGCAACAGAAGGAAGGAAACAATAAATGTAAGATCAGAAATTAGTGAAACGAAAAACAAAATAGAGAAAAATCAGTGAAACCCTTGCAAGAAATGTTAAGGAATTCTTTATAAAGAAGGAAAATTATATAGGTCAGAAACATTGCAGAAAAGAAGAGCATTAGAAAAGGGATTAACGAAGATTAACATAAAGAGTAGTTGTCTGGGGGATCCTTGGGTGGCTCAGCGGTTTGGCGCCTGCCTTTGGCCCAGGGCGCGGTCCTGGAGTCCCGGCATCGAGTCCCGCATCGGGCTCCCGGCATGGAGCCTGCTTCTCCCTCCTTCTGTGTCTCTGCCTCTCTCTTTCTCTCTCTAGATCTGTCATGAATAAATAAATAAATAAATCTTAAAAAAAAAGAGTAGTTGTCTATAGATATCCTGGTTCATTTCCTGAATCACTATTCTGTTCTACTGATCCATTTGTCTATCTTTATGTCAGTACCACATTGACTTGGTAATTGTCATCTTATGATAAGTCTTGAAATTCAGTAGTGTTAGTACCCCAACTTAAATCTTTTCCAAAGTTTTGGCTATTCTAGGACCTCTACATTTCTATTTGAATTTTAGAACCAGCTTATCAACAACTACAAAAATCCTACTAGGATTTTAATTTGGATCACACTGAAATCCACAAATAAATTTGGAAAGAACTGATATCTTACCAACACTGAGCCTTCCAACCAATGAACAGAGGATGCCTCTCCATTTATTTAGTTATTTCTAAATTTCTCACAGCAATGTTTTTGAAGTTTTCAGTATGCAGGTTGTGGTTGGCAGAGTTCTAAGATGGCCCCAAGATTAGCCCTATATAGCTCATCCACATGCCCTATATAGCTTCCTCCCCATGGGTGTAGGATTGCACTCCTGTAATTAAATCACTAATCAGTTGATTTTGCATTAGTAGAAAAGGAGATTATTTGGTGTGGGCCTGATATAATTAAGGGAGTTCAGAGAAGAAGGAGGAAGAGGAGGAAGAGGAGTGGCACCACTACAGAGATAGTTTCTTACTGGACTCAAAGAAGATGGAAGCTTCTATGAACTCTACAGCTGCGAGGAACTGTCTGCAAGCTGAATGAGCTTGTAACAGATTACCAAGCATCAGATGAGGCCACAACTCGGTGCCTGAGCAGAGTAGTCAAATAAGTTGTGTCCGAACTCCACAAGAACAGTGAGATAATAAATGGGTGTATTCCCAAACTAAAAAAAATAAATAAATAAAACCAATAATACCAAAAGCTGATTCTTTAAGAAGTAGAGATCAAGCCTACATACTGCTTTTCTTTGTGAGGGTTGAAGTGGGAAGGGAGATGTAGAGAGAGCATTCCTTGACTCTGGGCTGTTACTAGCTTTGTAAGTCTTCTGACATCTTTGGATCAAAATTTCTTAATTTCTCAAATATTCACTTTGCCCCCTTCTAAAATGAGATAACATCAATGTAGATAGTTTGAATATTGCAATGCTTTACAAATCCAAGGTATTATTAATGTCTATTATTACTGTGCTTGCACATAACAAAGAAGTCTGAAGAACAAGGTTATCAAAATTAATTCAATTAATCTCTGTTTGGAAGGCGGCATAGATTTATCTATTAGTTGCACAAATTATCAAATTGAATTAAAAACTAACTCTCAAGTAAGCTCTGGTGATTTTTACTCATCTATTTAATAAAATTCTAAAAATAAGTCAGACGCTACTTACCATAAATTATACTCGAATTGGACACTATTTAAATCAATTCAACAGCCACCCTGAAAGAAGAATGAAAAGTAGAAACCACTATGACAATGAAGGTAAAAGGTTTCAGTGAGGCTCACCTTTCCTGTCTTCCAGAGTTTAAAATATCTATATCTCCACAGAGTTCAAAGGAAAGAGAGTTTTAGTTTTCTTCCTTTTCAGTAGTGCCTGGTGATATCTGAAACTGTAAACAGTTCCCCCAGATGACCTGCAGTCATAGGCAAAGAAAGACAAACACAAAGAATATTTCCTGGGACTGAGGTCGTCAAGTGCTAGGCTTTGTCAAGAGAGAAGCACTTCAGAAGAAATAAGGGGATTGGTAGATTCTTTCTGAGATGACAGTAAGGCAGTCAAGGAAAAGATTGCTGATGGGGACAAAGGTCCCAGGAAGGTCAGGGATAAGAGCAGACTTTTGTGCTGTCTGTAAAGAAAAGTTTTGCTTAGTAAAAGATAACAAATGAGCAGTGTTTGTGCTAACACCCAGCAAGTCTTACCAAGAAATAAAGAACACAGTCTGCAGGAGATATACCTACCTAAAACCTAGACTACTGTCAACAGTGTACTCCAATATTAGAGATGACTTATGCATAAATATTGCAATTAGAAATGTCACCTTTAGTAGCAAGTCCATACATTCAGGATTGTCTAATTCAACACTAAATACTGAGGTAAAATTCAAATATTTTATGGAAGTTCTCAGTTCTGATTGATTATTCTAATAGAGCCAAAAAATGAAATAAACTGTATTTTTGATATCATAAGAGTCTTAGAATCCTTAAAGATTACTAGTGAACTTTGAAGCAGATTGGCAAACTCTGAAGAAATGCAGACAGTGCTTTTTGCCTATGTGTCCTGTTTTTTTATATTTGCTTGAGATAATTAAACCTGCTTATTGTGATTCCATGACACCTGTAGTCATCACATCACCAAACTTGAATTAATAAGTCATGGTCTACATCTATTTGCTGTCTACAAGAGACTCATTTTAGACATAAGGACACCTACAGCCTGAAAATCAAAGGTTGGAGAACCATTTACTATTCAAATGGTCCTCAAAAGAAAGCAGGTGTAGCCATCCTCATATCAGATAAATTAAAGTTTATCCCAAAGTCTGTAGTGAGAGATGAAGAGGGACACTATATCATACTTAAAGGATGTATCCAACAAGAGGACCTAACAATCATGAATATTTATGCCCCTAATGTGGGAACTGCCAAGTATATCAATCGATTAATAACCAACAGAACTTTATGATCAAACGCAACTGAATACACATTCTTCTCAAGTGCACATGGAACTTTCTCCAGAATAGACCACATACTGGGTCACAAATCAGGTCTCAACTGCTACCAAAAGATTGGGATCGTCCCTTTCATATGTTCAGACCACAATGCTTTGAAACTAGAACTAAATTACAAGAAGAAGTTTGGAAGGATTTCAAACACGTGGAGGTTAAGGATCATCCTCCTAAAAGATGAGAGGGTCAACCAGGAAATTAGAGAAGAATTAAAAAGATTCATGGGAACAAATGAAAATGAAGATACAACCGTTCAAAATCTTTGGGATACAGCAAAAGCAATCCTGAGGGGGAAATAGATTGCAATACAAGCATCCATCAAAAAACTGGAAAGAACTCAAATATAAAAGCTAACCTTGCACCTAAAGGAGCTGGAGAAAAAACAGCAAATAGATCCTGGACCCAGAAGAAGAAGAGAATTAATAAAGATTGGAGCAGAACTCAATGAAATAGAGACCAGAAGAACTGTAGAACAGATCAACAAAACCAGGAGTTGGTTCTTTGAAAGAATTAATAAGATAAATAAACCATTAGCCAGCCTTATTAAAAAGAAAAGACTCAAATTAATAAAATCTTGAATAAGGAGAGATCACCACCAATACCAAGGAAATACAAACGATTTTAAAAACGTATTATGAGCAGCTATACGCCAATAAATTAGGCAATCTAGAAGAAATGGACACATTTCTGGAAAACCACAAACTACCAAAACTGGAACAGGAAGAAATAGAAAACCTGAACAGGCCGATAACCAGGGAGGAAATTGAAGCAGTCATCAAAAACCTCCCAAGACACAAAAGTCCAGGGCCAGATGACATCCCAGAAGAATTCTATCAAACGTTTAAAGAAGAAACCATACATATTCTACTAAAGCTGTTTGGAAAGATAGAAAGAGATGGAGTATTTCCAAACTCGTTCTATGAGGCCAGCATCACCTTAATTCCAAAACCAGACAAAGACCCCACCAAAAAGGATAATTATAGACCAATATCCCTGATGAACACAGATGCAAAAATTCTCAACAACATACTGGCCAATAGGATCCAACAATACATTAAGAAGATTATTCACCATGACCAAGTGGGATTTATCCCCAGGATGCAAGGCTGGTTCAACATTTTTTTTTATTTATGATATGATAGTCACACACAGAGAGAGAGAGAGAGAGAGAGAGAGAGAGAGAGGCAGAGGGATGAAGCAGGCTCCATGCACCGGGAGCCCGATGTGGGATTCGATCCCGGGTCTCCAGGATCGCGCCCTGGGCCAAAGGCAGGCGCCAAACCGCTGCGCCACCCAGGAATCCCTGGTTCAACATTTGTAAAGCAATCAACGTGATTGATCATATCAGCAAGAGAAAAAACAAGAACCATATGATCCTCTCATTAGATGCAGAGAAAGCATTTGACAAAATACAGCATCCATTCCTGATCAAAACTCTTCAGAGTGTAGGGATAGAGGGAACTTTCCTCAACATCTTAAAAGCCATCTACGAAAATCCCACAGCAAATATCATTCTCAATGGGAAGCACTGGGAGCCTTTCCCCTAAGATCAGGAACACGACAGGGATGTCCACCCTCACCACCTCTATTCAACATAGTACTAGAAGTCCTCGCCTCAGCAATCAGGCAACAAAAAGAAATAAAAGGCATTCAAATTGGCAACGAAGAAGTCAATCTCTCCCTCTTTGCCGATGACATGATACTCTACATAGAAAACCCAAAAGCCTCCACCCCAAGATTGCTAGAACTCATACAGCAATTCGGCAGTGTGGCAGGATACAAAACCAATGCCCAGAAATCAGTGGCATTTCTATACACTAACAATGAGACTGAAGAAAGAGAAATTAAGGAGTCAATCCCATTTACAATTGCACCCAAAAGCATAAGATACCTAGGAATAAACCTAACCAAAGAGGTAAAGGATCTATACCCTAAAAACTACAGAAGACTTCTGAGAGAAATTGAGGAAGACACAAAGAGATGGAAAAATATTCCATGCTCACGGATTGGAAGAATTAATAGTATGAAAATGTCAATGTTACCCAGGGCAATTTACACATTTAATGCAATCTCTATCAAAATACCATGGACTTTCTTTTTTTTTTTAAGATTTATTTATTTATTTATTATTTATTATTTATTTATTTATTTATTTTTGATAGACACAGAGAGAGAGAGAGAGGAAGCAGAGACACAGGAGGAGGGAGAAGCAGGCTCCATGCCGGGAGCCCGTCGCGGACTGGATCCCGGGACTCCAGGATCACACCCTGGGCCAAAGGCAGGCGCTAAACCCCTGAGCCACCCAGGGATCCCCTACCATGGACTTTCTTCAGAGAGTTGGAACAAATCATCTTAAGATTTGTGTGGAATCAGAAAAGACCCTGAATAGCCACAGGAATATTTAAAAAAGAAAAACCAGACCCAGGGCCATCACAATGCCAGATTTAAAGTTATACTACAAAGCTGTGATCACCAAGACAGTGTCGTACTGGCACAAAAACAGACACATAGATCAATGGAACAGAATAGAGAACCCAGAAGTGGACCCTCAACTTTATGGTCAACTAATATTCAATAAAGGAGGAAAGACTATCCATTGGAAGAAAGACAGTCTCTTCAATAAATGTTGCTGGGACAATTGGACATCCACATGCAGAAGAATGAAACTAGACCACTCTCTTACACCAGACACAAAGATAAACTCAAAATGGATGAAAGATCTAAATGTGAGACAATATTCCATCAAAATTCTAGAGGAGAACACAGGCAACACCCTTTTTGAACTCGGCCACAGTAACTTCTTGCAAGATACATCCACGAAGGCAAAAGAAACAAAAGCAAAAATGAACTATTGGGACTTCATCCAGATAAGAAGCTTTTGCACAGCAAAGGATACAGTCAACAAAACTCAAAGACAACCTACAGAATGGGAGAAGATATTTGCAAATGACGTATCAGATAAGGGCTAGTTTCCAAAATCTATAAAGAACTTATTAAACTCAACACCAAAGAAACAAACAATCCAATTATGAAATGGGCAAAAGACATGAACAGAAATCTCACAGAGGAAGACATACACATGGCCAACAAGTACATGAGAAAATGTTCTGCATCACTGGCCACCAGGGAAATAGAAATCAAAAGTACAATGAGATACCACCTCACACCAGTGAGAATGGGGAAAATTAACAACACAGGAAACAACAAATGTTGGAGAGGATGTGGAGAAAGGGGAACCATCTTGCACTGTTGGTGGGAATGTGAACTGTTATAGCCACTCTGGAAAATTGTGTGGAGGTTCCTCAGAGAGTTTAAAATAGATCTGTTCTACGACCCAGCAATTGCACTGCTGGGGATTTACCCCAAAGATACAGATGCAGTGAAACGCTGAGACAACTGCAGCCCGATGTTTCTAGCAGCAATGTCCACAATAGCCAAACTGTGGAAGGAGCCTTGGTGTCCATCAAAAGATGAATGGATAAAGAAGATGTGGTCTACGTATACAATGGAATATTACTCAGCCATTAGAAACAACAAATATCAACCATTTGCTTCAATAAGGATGGACCTAGAGGGTATTATGCTGAGTGAAATAAGTCAATTGGAAAAGGACAAACATTATATGGTCTCATTCATTTGGGGAATATACAAATTAGTGAAACGGAATAAAGGTAAAGGAGAGAATATGAGTGAAAATATCACTGAGGGTGACAACGCATGAGAGACACTTAACTCTGGGAAATGAACAAGGGCAGGGGTTTGGGGTGACTGGGTGATGGGCACTAACGGGGGCACTTGACGGGATGAGCACTGGGTGTTATGCTATATGTTGGCAAATTGAACTCCAATAAAAAAATTTTTAAAAAATAAGCCATGGTCTATCTTGTTTCATTCCCTGCCTCCCTCACTGTCCTCTCCATTTCATGATACTCTCTTTTTCTTAAAAGATTTTATTTGTTTATTTGAGAGAGAAAACACATGAGAGAGTACAAAGGAGGTGAGGGGCAGAGGGAGAAGGAGACTACATGCTGAGCATGGACTTTGATGAGGGGCTCTATCCTGGGACTCCAGGATCATGACCTGAGCCTAAGGCAGTAGCTTAACCAACTGAACCACTGAGGTGCCCCACATGGTATTCTCTTATACCGAAACAAATCCAAGATTTGGGGGGAAGATTTATTTATTTATTTTTGAGAGAGAAAAAGTGAGCAAGTATGTGAGTGGAGGGGAGGGGCAGAGGGAGAGGCAGAGAATCTCAAGCAGACTCTGAGTGCAGAGCCTGATGTGGGCCTTGATCTCATGATGCATGAGACCATGACCTGAGCCTAAACCAAGAGTTAGACATTTAACCGACTAAACCACCCAGGCACACTCAAGACTTTTTTATCCTGCCATCTGCAAATATCTCAGTGTTTAACTGAAGAAAAGATAATGCCAATATCATGTGTGAAAATTAACAATAATTTCTTAATATCCTCATACAGTCAATATTCAAATTTCTCTGGTTGTCTCATATCTGTATTTTTGCAATACATTAATGGAACCAGAACCCAAATGAGATCTATATGAAGTAATTGGTTTACAACTTTTAAATCTTTTAGTTCTCCAGTCTTTCTTTCTTGCAATTTTTCTGTTGAATTACTAAGTCATGGATCCCATATTAATTTCCACAGTCTAGATTTTGCTCATTGTATCTCATGATGTTGATTTCCTGTCCCCAATATTTCCTGCAAATGTTCTTCTGTCCCCTGTATTTCCTGTAAATTGGTAATTAAAACTGAAGTCTTGATGATATTCAGTTTCAATTCTTTGGCAACAATTCCTAATAGGTGGTGTTGTGATCATCCATTAGAAGGCCAGAAAAGGCTGGTGTTCTCTCTTTTTGCATTGTTAGTAGTCATTAATGATCACTGTCAGTATTTCATTAGAGGTTGCAAAATAGTAGTGTTATAATTCTATCATTCCCCCTTCAATTACTAGCTAATATGCTTCTCTGAGGAAGAATTTGCTCTTATCAATGGTTTGATTATCACAAAGTGCCTCTCGTGTAGAGAAGAGAAGACAAAAGCAGGACTTTTTCCTCATTATGTTCTGGTTTTCAAAATACCTGTTGTGTCTCTAATATATCCAAACAAGATCCAAAAGTGACAAAGTGACCTTTATTTTTTTTGAGTCAGAATGATCACATGGATTAAACACATAAATGTTTTGATCTATCGCAACTGTAATTTTTATTGATGATCACATTGTCCCTCATCAAGTGGCTTTTGTGTCCTTTCAAGAAGCCCACAATGGTCATTGAAAGGTTCCTTGATTCCTAGAATAACAGGATGTACTGGGCTTATCATGTACATTTCCTACCACAGTTCTGGTATCCGCTATTTTTCCCAGGAGCCCAGTTTCTATTAATGGAAGATGGCACCTCAAGACCATAACCTGGACACCAAGGATGTTCATCACTAATGGGCTGGTCATTGTTTTTAGATCTTTTCAGTATTCAAAATTAGAAAATATATTTTAAAGATAAAAACAACATGAGATTATACTAATATTTCCATTTCAAATTCAAAAATACAAAGTTTTTACTTAATCTCATCCATACTATGTTTGTATCTCCTTTTCATGTCAGAAATACTATTCCATGGGCATCCTGGGTGGCTCAGTGGTTTAGCACCATCTTCAGCCCAGGGCATGATCCTGGAGACCCGGGATGGAGTCCCACATCGGGCTCCCTACAGGGAGCCTGCTTCTCCCTCTGCCTGTGTCTCTGTCTCTCTCTGTCTCTCTCTCCTTCTCACTAATAAATAAGTAAAATCTTTTTAAAAAATACTGATTCCAAACACCACCAACAGAAATATTCATTTACTTTATCCCACACTCACATGCAGCAACGTCAAAATTATACCACCAACATGGCTGAGATCTTTTTACAGTTCTTTCTGACCTTTGCATAGATCTGTCTAGGAAGTCAAGTCAAATTACTGTGTTTAATTGCAATCACACAGAACAGTTCCTCTCTATAGTTATCCAAAAACTTGTTACATAGTTTGTTTCTGATGCTCCCCATTGGTTTCTTTTTTTGTTAGGGATTGCTTTTTAAATTTAATTTTGTATTATAATTGCATAAAATAATTATGTGTTTCCAAATTCAAATCTACAAAACAAGGTATATTCAGAGAAGTCCCACTTCTTTTTTTAATTTTATTTATTTATTCATGAGAGACACACACACAGAGAGAGAGGTAGAGACACAGGCAGAGGGAGAAGCAGGGAGCCTGATGCGGGACTTGGTCCCGGGTCTCCAGGATCAGGCCCTGGGCCGAAGGCGGTGCTAAACCACCGAGCCACCCAGGCTGCCCTGAAGTCCCACTTCGATCCCTTCCCTTTCTTCTTGTTTCCTTATTTCCTGACTCCTTCCCCATTGGTAACCTCTTTCTTAAAATGTTTAGCTTTAGGCTTATCCTTCCTTTTTATAAAAGTAAATATATGTATGATATATATGAATCATATATATTCAAACCCCTTTCTTTTTTTTAATAAATTAATTTTTATTGGTGTTCAATTTACCAACATACAGAATAACACCCAGTGCTCATCCCGTCAAGTGTCCCCTCAGTGCCTGTCACCCATTCACTCCCACCCCCCGCCCTCCTCCCCTTCCACCACCCCTAGTTCGTTTCCCAGAGTTAGGAGTCTTTATGTTCTGTCTCCCTTTCTGATATTTCCCACACACTTCTTCTCCCTTCCCTTATATTCCCTTTCACTATTATTCATATTTCCCAAATGAATGAGAACATACACTGTCAAACCCCTTTCTTAAATAGACATATACAGTTTACTCCACTTTGCTTTTTTCCACGTAATAATATGTGCTGGACACTACTCCCAGCAATGCATAGCAATATAACTCTTTCCTTTTTATAGCCACATAGTACTCCTTTGCATAGATGTATGACAACTTTTCAATCTCCCATTGATGGAATGTAGGTTGTTTCCAACCTTTGCTGCAATGCATTGCAATGAATAACCTGGGATATGTCTTCCTATGGTTTTTGCCATTCTATCTTTGGGACAGATTTGTAGAAGTGAGATTAATAATTCAAAGAGTAAATGCATATGTAAATTTTGTTAGAAATGAACAAGCTCTCCTTCACAGGAGCATCCCACCAGAAATGTATGGGAGCAGGAGCATGAATTGTGTACGGTAAAAATTTATGCTAGTTTTAGAGAGTAAAGTGAGACAGGTGCTCCCTCTCAAGTTGGGTTTGTAATTGGAAAAGAATCCCCCTTGTCCTTTCCTACAATCCAGTTAGTTTAATACATTCCGTTGGCAGTCTCTGAAAATTACCCACAATGCCAATAAATTACTCTTTTTAGTTCTGTACACAGACAGCAGTGAGAACTCATTGTTTCAAGGGGCCAGAATTGGCCCACTTTGGACCTTCCCAGTGGGACAGGATGTGATCCTGGTTGCACAAGCTGCACACAACTTCAATGGCCAGACTCCGACAGGGCAGAAACCTAGCAAGCATGCTCTGAGAATGATCCCACTGGATAATGGGAGCTGTAGATCCACCCAGGCAATAAAATAATCTGCTTTGAATGTCCTCATCTTTATGTCACTCCCCTGCTGAGAAACCTACTGGGGATCCTTCCCAACTGTGTTGTCAAGTCAGGGTTGTCTGCTCTGTCTCCACGCCCTCCAAACAAATCAGCCTCCAGTCTGTTCTCTCCTGCATGGCTCCTCTGCTGTTGCCAAGCGAAACTGCTTGACATTCCTTACATTTGTAAAGACCTTTCTGGCCTCTGTGCCTGTGAGTGCAGCATTTCTTGCTCTAAGGATGAACCCTAGAGTTTGGCCACTCTCCTCTATTCATCTCACCCCAAAACCAACCAGTGCCAGATGCCACCATAACCCATTCTGTTCTCAGCAACTGTTTTATGAACTGCTGGTCACTTGAGGGCTGTGTCTTTCTACATCCACCAAAAGCTGTAAAACAATTAGCACCATGTTCTGCACATGATGGCATGGGATTAAATCATGTTGGAAGCCTGACTACCTAGCATTTAAGATTATGGCCAAAGACATATCAATGTTGGAGCTAAACCTAAAACTGCGGTACTGGACTTGTCATTCTCTCTGGCAAGAGTAGCAAATGCAAGATCCTCATTCACACATATCAGAGAGCATGTCTCCACACAGTAGGAAGCCAGAGTGAAAATCCTGGGCTACAAAAAAGCTCTTTACACAAAACACCCATAGCAAAAATTATAAATCTCACCATGAATGCAACAGACACACTGAATGGAGCACCATCTAGTTCACGGGATGATAGCTAATGTAAAAAAGGAAAATTCAAAACTGTATAGCTAATATAATGAATAATTTACATCAAAAATTTATATACATATATAAGATTTACATATACACATATTTATAAAACTATATAGATATAGATGCTAGCAGTATTTCTGAGTGGTATGTTTACCGATTTTTAATTTTTCCTTATTTACACTTTTTCTGTGTACAGTACACCTTTATAATAAGCGTGCATTACTTTCATGATAAGCAAAAAACCTAAAACCTAAAATATTTACCCAGCATTTGTGATCAAATACACTTCAGATACATAGATACAATGTGGAAATTTGAACTTGGTCAGCATCTAACACATCCAAAGACAGAAGAAAGGGGGCTTTGGAAATGAAAGAGTCTAAAAGCTACTCAAAAGCAATCACTGTTTTAATCTTGAGCCAATATTTGAATAGGCATTATTTACAGTCATAATTTTTGAAGATCAAAGCAGTCTTCTCTTCCTCATTGTCAAAGCAAAGAGAAGAGATGAACTTGCTGAATCCACATTTTAAATGCACACAAAGAATGAGCACATGGTGTCTTACCTCATCTGTAATGGTATGTTGTTGACTAGAAGAGAGATGAAGGCCGAGAAGTATCAGGGGTAGAAGTGCAATGTCAACCTGTAATCTGCTGCTTCAATGCTAAAGAGAGGCATTGCTATGCACCCCATCCAATAGCAGTTGAATGATCCCGGTGTGTTTCTACAAAGCAAGAAAAGGGAATGACACACTTCAGGAGTGGGCCTTTTTGAAGAATAAACTGACTTTCCCTCTGAAGCTGAGAGAGTGGTAATGGTGGGAGGCAGTGGAAATTATAGCAGTTTCAGTGCTGTAGTCGAGTGCTTTTAATGAGTTGCCCTGAGCAAACATACCTAATCAGCCTCCACTATCCATTCTGCTACTGCCCACATCTTTGCAAATTGGTTCTTGTTTTTATGCCTTAATAAGCTGGAAAGGCTAGAAATTCTTTTTTCCATTTTTAATTTTTCAAAACCTACCTAGCCATATGTCATTTCTAAAGACAACCCCTCCTTCTTCTGGTTGTTGGCACCGTTAGCAAAGACAGAGACAGCTCAGAGGCCTCCCATTTCTCTCCTCTCCTGCTTCCACTGCAATCCATTTCATTGTTTGGTCATCCAAATGGATATCTAAAGAACTTGATGGGTGACTCCAAGGCAATTTTAGCTCCTCTTTCTCATAAAAATGGAAAATGCTCCCTAAAAACTCAAACTTACTTCCTCTCACCACAGCCCCAATATGTTTGGGCTGCATCTATTCTCAAAAGTAATGTGGGGGTAATCTGTATCTTTTTCAGAATCTAAGTAACTGCTTCTTCTCCTTCATCTCTTATTCCCACTATATTAGTCAGCTATTACTAGAATAATTCTGTGTAACACACAAGCCCCAAACACAACAAAATTGTATGTATTTATTTCATGCTGTGAGTTGCCTATGGCTCTGCTGGGATAAGCGGGCACTTCTTGGCAGTTGCCCCAACTGTGGGTTGAGAAGGGAGTTCCTGAGTCAACCAATCTAGCATCTCACTGTGTTTCTCTCTAAAAGAAACCTCGTTTTCTTCCAATGGCAACATCTGAGTTGAGCACGGAGTCTTATTTTATTCTTCTAAAATCTTATTGGAAGATGCAAGAAGTAATCAATTCCCTGAAATTTTTCTACCAAATCCTTTCATGCTACAGATCTGGAAGGTGTGTTATTTAATTAGAAAATGACAAATGTTTCTCTGGCATGTCAATGATAGAAAAAAAAAAAACCTCAAGCTTCCTTCTGACTTACCTCTTCCACTCAGCCAATTCCATAGCTTACAATTTGTTTCTTTTCTTTTCTTTTCTTTTTAGAATTTGTTTCTTGATGGAGCCCACTTCTAGTAACAAGCTCTGTAACTGTTAGGGTTTTTAAGCTGCATAAAATTGAAAACTTAAGCCAAACTATCTGTAACAATGATTAAGTATATTGGCAACCAAAACTAAGTTCCAGCTGTAGAAGAGGCTTTAAGGTTAACTGACCAAGGAGTTCACCAATGACACAGATTAATTCCATCTTTCCATTTTGACACCAACTCTGTCAGCTTCATCCTAAAGGCCAATTCACTTCATGTCTTTGGGGTGCCCCCTATAGCAACTAAGGCTAAATGTCTGCTCATTTATATACAACAAGAGGCTGGCTTCCTGTAGCTAGGCTTCTTAACAAGACACTTGCATTTCCAAAAAGTCTCAGAAAAGTTCTTTTTGTTTCTCATTGAACTAAATTGATTTGGGCCAGACTATCTGCAAACTAGGGCAGAAAGAACAAGATTAGACTAATCAGAACCCCAAGATCTGGTCTCAACCAGCTCCCCCTGAGGCATAGGGGCTATGTGTGGGAGCCAATGACACCTGGATAAAAGAGATTTATTTAGGAATGGAAAAGGAGAGGGTGGATATCAAGATGACAGCCAACATTTCCCACTACATTTGGTTCAGATTCTAGGTGGTGAGTATCTTGGGTGGAGGATAGGATCATTCTGCTCACGCCAGGAGAATATTTCCCACTGGAATGTAATATGTTGGCATTCCATTTACATATTGGTCTCTTGTGGTTTATTTTTAATCAACTCCCTTGTGTTAGAACTATGTCTGACAAGGCTAAGGGCCAGGTCCAATCATTGGATCAAGTTACATTCACCCAGATTAACTTTTTGCTCACCATTATGCCCGCTTCAGTCTACATCACCATGAATTGGCTTAATCTGAATAAACAGAAAAAGAAAATGCAAAAATTATGATTACATAATATGCATTAACAAACTGCATGCACAAATAGGCAACCATAAAATGAGAGAGATTCGCGAGCCAACACTGGTAGCTGTTTCTCATGTGTTTTGCTTGTTCTATCAGCAACTTCTTCATATCCACCTTAAATTTCTTATGCTCCACTTTAAACATTTCTTTTTGCTTTTTCTCCAAAAGTGTTGTCAAACAAGATCCGTATTGTCCTCTGTATCGCAAATATACAAAAGTTCCCAATGCAAAGAAAAGGATTATTCTACATTGTCAATAAATGGGCTCTCAAAATCCCTTCCATGTCTAAAAGCCTAGGAACAGCGTTACCTTGATTATTGGAAGTAAACCTGAAATATTCTAGAGTATAAATGTCAAACATTGAGCCTGTGGGCCAGCTTTAACCTGCAGAAGGTCATCATTCAATGACACAACCTCATTGTAAACAGCTTTGCTCAGTTGGCGTGTTTTTTTGTATTGTTTCAGTTTTAGGGTCTTTAGCCCACCAGGGAGATTGAAGGGAGATTGGTCCATGAGTAAATTTGATTTGACAGTCTTGTCCCTAGGAAACAAAATGGCATTTTTTTAGAATGTAAGATTAATGCACTAAATGAATATTATTTACCCCAAACTAAGCCCTTGGAAGTTCCTATAAAATTGAGGCATCAACTGTCAGAAGCTGCAAAATACTAAAGGCAACATACACTTTGCAGTGCAATAGTGTGTGTGTGTGTGTGTGTGTGTGTCCTAAACAACAGAGTCCTTTAAACAAACCACATTTGCACATTGAGTAACACCATATTCTGGTCCTGAATTTCTCAACTTGCTTTTTATACAATGTTACTCATAGTTTTTTTTTTTTTCTAAGATTCTTCTAAGTGAAGGCAGGCTTTTTCAAGAACCAATTCAAAATGAAAGTTGATTTTTGCATGATGTCACCAAAAGGTGATGTCACTTTCTTTTCTCTCCCTTGTCTCAAGAAAAATGGATACTAATGTTGAACTTATTTCACCCTTAACACAACACAGACAGGCAATCTCTAAAAACACAATGTCAGTCAACCTAATGTTACCAGATAAAGTCATCAGAACCCAGAGTAAAGCAAAACTTTCAGGGATAGGCTTCCTAACTCCTATGGAAAATTTTGCATATTTTCAGTTCTCTTTTAGACAGTATTAGAGTGATTGTTTTTTTAACAAAAGCACTAAAATATTGTCTTTTAGTTTATTTAAAGGGAGCCAATCAAAATTTTTAGGCAAAACCCAAAGGAAGTTTTATTTATAATAAAACTCAAACCTTGCCCCTGAACTCTTTAGTTATAAGCAGTGTCTATTTTTATCGGTATATATGATGGTGTTTTCAATACCATACTATCAACTGTTCAAATCAATTCATAATTCATGTCTCTGGTGGCCAATATTTCAGGAACAATACATTTGCATGCCAATGGGACTAGAAAAGTTGGCAGAGATAGCAAGAGGAGGAAGGAAAAGACCTTGGGGCAAGAATGAGGAAAGTGTGTAAAATTTTTAAACTAATAGGATTAGCAACTCATTTTTCCCAAAAATAATAATAATAAATAAGCTCTAGACTACAAAGCTTATATTTGGAATTACCTATGTTTATTTAATCTGAAATGTTTTCCAAGCAATGAGTTTGGTCTACCTGTTCAATACATAATTGGGAGTCATGACCCAGGCCCATGTAAGCAGTAGTCATGGAGCAATAGAAGGCAATTTTATCCTCTGCCAGACATCACCTCAAAATGTCCCCTAGTTGATACTTTGGATGGCTTTGGTCAACCAACATCTTTATTTACTTATTTATTCATGAAATATGCAGAGAGAGAGGCAGAGACATAGGCAAAAGGAGAAGCAGGCTCCCTGTGGGGAGCCCAATGTGGGACTCGATCCCAGGACCCTGGGATCACACCCTGAGCTGAAAGCAGACACTCAACTGCTGACCCATACAGGTGGTCCACCAACCTCTTAATAGTGGCCCTAAAGGCAATGTCATTTTAAAGAAAAGACAAACCTGAAGACCATGAGCTGAAGGATGGAGAATACAGAACAAAGCTGAAAAGAGCCTCACATATGATGAATATTCAGCTCAGGAGAAGTGGAGGAGTAGAGCCCTTGGAGGAGTGGAAGCCAATGAAAAGGTCTGCCCTGAAATCTAAATAGGCTGATTACCCTCTTCACCAGAGCCTCAGTAATGGGAAAAAAAAACAGACAGGACTCCATTTATTAAAACATCAAGGAAAGAACTGGGGGTTCCAGGACCCATCCATCCCAAAGTGTCACATTTGCCTCTGAGGGCAGAGAAGAGTCAGGTTGACCCAAGCTGGGTCAAGAGCAGGAAGAAATTTTCCTGGGGAGATTTCTACCCACCCACAACCTACAGTGAGCCCTGGAGTTATGGGAGAGAAGCTTCCCACTTCTCTCACTAAGACCTGCATTAGTCACCTATTGCTGAAATAAATCTATGTAAGCATCCCAAACTCAGTGGCTTAAAACAATAATCCTATATTTCTGACTCACAGGTCTGTGGATTATCTGTAGTCGTGAGGGACTTTGCTGGGATTGCCTGGCCTTAGTTCCAGGCTGTGAGTTAGTTCAGGTCTATTCCATGTGTCTCCTACTTAAGGGATCAGTGATTTTACAGGTCATGGTTTTGCATTGTGTTTTTTTTTTTTTTTATGACAATGGCAAAAGCCCAAGATGGCCAACAGAAATATGAAATACCTCTTAAGGCCTTGGTTCAGAAAGGCACACTGAAACTTCCATACATATTTCCTTGGCCAAAGCAAGTCACATGGTAAAGCCCAACATCAATGGGGTGGTGAAATATACTGCACTCATAGTGGACCATGATAATAGTGGGGAAGGAAGGAAGAATTATAAGCAAATACAACCTACCAAGATTGAGAGCTTTACTCCAGAGGACCCAGTCATCTGTATGCAACCTTTTCAGAATTTAATCCAAATGTCCAGGAACAGGTGAATGAATAAACAAAATACAGTACACACATGCAATGGAATAGAATTCAGCCTTAAAAAGGAAAGAAATTCTAATGCATGTTACAATGTGGATGAACCTTGAAAATATTATACTCCATTAAAGAAGCTAGACACAAAAGGACAAATATGGTAGGATTCTATTTATATGAGGTTCCTAAAAATAAGCAAATTTATAGAGACTAAAAGCCAAATGGTGGTTGGTAGGGGCTGGGGAGAGGGAAGAATGGGGAGTTATTGTTCAATGGGTATGGAGTTTCTTTTAGGGAGATGAAAAAGTTATGGAGATGGGCAGTGGTGATGGTTTCTCAACAATGTCAGTGTAGTTGGGGTGCCTGGGTGGCACAGTGGGTTAAGCATCTGACCCTTGGTTTTGGCTCAGGTTATGATCTCAGGGTTGTGAGATTGAGCCTTGAATCAGGCTCTGCACTCAGAAGAGAGTCTGCTTGAGATTCTCTCCCTCTCCCTCTGCCCCTACCGGCCCCCTTACAAAGAAAATAAATAAATAGAATCTATAAAATAAAAAAGCAAACAAAAATGTGAATGTAGTCAACACCACTGGAAGACACACATAAAATGGTAAAAATTGAATGGTTAAAATGGTAAAATTTTACATCATGTATATTTCACTACAATAAAAAAAGAATGTGAATAAGACAAGTTAGCACGGGTAGCAGCGAACAATAGGCTCACACATGGATTGATCCATTTCACCCTCACAACCATTTTGGGATAGGATTCATTCTCCATTCAGGAAGAGGCCACATGCTGAAGGGGCCACTTGGAGGAACAGCCAGGCCACATCCTTCCCCTTACATCTGAGTAAAAAAGGTCATATTGGGATGCGTGGGTGGCTCAGTGGTTGAGCGGCTGCCTTTGGCCCAGGGCATGATCCTGGAGTCCCAGGATCGAGTCCCACACTGGGCTCCCTGCATGGAGCCTACTTCTCCCTCTGCCTGTGTCTCTGCCTCTCTCTCTGTGTCTCTCATGAATAAATAAATAAAAATATTTTTTTTTAAAAAAAGGTCATATTGCCTTTGAATGAGGGTGAACATTAGTACCGCTAAACCTACAATGGGGCCCTGAGACACTTGGTGCTCATTGCCTTTGCCAATGAGGCTACATTTTCTCGAGTGGTGAGTGCTCATAGACACCAGGTTGATCTACACAAATCTAGGGTGCTATTATTTTAAATCTGGTTCTAAATGCACTGTGTAGCTAGAGTCTTTAAAAGAATTTTACCTGGAGTATAATGAATTGAGAAAAAAAGAAAGGTTGAACTTTATTTATTTTTCAAGTCACCAAGAAATTGGCATTTTCCTTAAGAAAGGCTGACTGCTGTTGAATTTTTTTCTCTTGCTTCAATACTGAGGTTATTAGCAAGTATTCTGCATTACCTTTAAGATTTCAACTTCCTTCCCTGTGTTAAAAGCATCTTCAAAACAGGAACAGTGTCAGTGCTTGATGTTCTTGGGGCTGGTTCTGTAGATAGTTCTCTAGTTAAAGCGCTGTTGTTTAATTCTGAAAGACTGTAATTGAGGCCAGAAATTTTAATACCATGGTTAATGATAATTTCCTGCACCTCTCTGCCATAGTTAGCTCAAAAGAAATGGAAGAAACTCTCATGGAAAGGGGAAGTAAGAAAGGAGAAAATGGCGCCTGGGTAGCTCAGTTGGTGAAGCATCTGCCTTTGTCTCAGGTCATGATCCCGGGGTCCTGGTATCGAGCCCTTAGTCAGGCTCCCTGTTCATTGAGGAGTCTGCTTCTCCCTCTCCTGCTGCTTGTGCTCTTTCTCTCTCTCTTTCTCTGTCGAATAAATAAATAAAAATCTTAAAAAGAAAAGAAAGGAGAAGAAAATTACCTGAATTTCCAAATGAGCTTGTACCTCATTCAGCTATCACTGGAGAGTCTTCTGCTATGAGACAGCAGGGCAATCTTTCCATTATCTGTCCTTTTCATAACAAACACTGATGAAACATTAAGCTAATCCCTACATACACGGTACTGCTAGTCTGCAAATTGAATGAGTGCTTCATTATTCAGTTATACAAAGAAATATGCCAACAGGTACCTGCATAACACAATAGCCCGCAGATATCATAAATGGATTTTAATGTTATCTTATGAATGCCTGAAATAGATTTTACTTAATATACTAAATAAAAGAGTGCCTTTCTTCATTAGAGAGAGAGAAGCACTAGCAGTGACATCTTGCATCTTGATGCAGAGCAAATGCTCTCCTTACCTTCCATCTGCATCCTGCTTCTCTATTCAGGTTGAAGCATGAAACCTTGAAAGATCCTGGGATTTCCTCTCCATAAAGACAATCAACAAATTCCAGGTATTTCTATAGCTGTATTCAATATTAGAATTTAAAGGTAAATGCCACAGGGTGAGATAGAAGTTGTGTAGTAGAGGACAGGAGCATAAAAATAATATTTCTTGACTGCTCACTATGTCAGGTACTGTTCTAAGTGCTTGAAAACTATTAAGTCATGGCATCTTCACAATACCTTTAGGTGCCTAGGTATTACTCTTATCCTGATCATACAAACAAAGAAACCAAGGTACAGAAAAGTTAGTTAACTTGCCTCAGGTCACAGAGCTACTAAGCAGCACAGCTGGAATGCACATGTAGGCAGTCTGGAGCCCTGCTCTAACCTCCATGTCACACTTCCTGTCTAAGGAACACAAGATTCTGGGACACTCCCACCCTGTCTGTGTCACCATGAACCACAGCTTCATCCAGCAGAAGAACTTGTTAGATAGTCAGCATTCTCAAAGCAATGATTTCTGTTATCATCACATCACCAGTCAGCACTTCAGAATTAAATATATAGGGCACCTGGGTGGCTGGATCAGTTGGGTGTCTGCCTTTGGCTGGTCATGATCCCAAGGTCCTGGGATTGAGCCCTACATCAGGCTCCCTGCTCAGTGAGGAGTCTGCTTCTTTCTCTCCTTCCGCACCTCCCCCTGCTTGTGCACACTCTCTCTCTCTGTATCAAATAAATAAAATATGTTTTAAAATTAATAAAAACATATATATATATATATATGGGATATATATATAACTCTTCATCATCCATGACAAGATCAGTAACTCAGTTTGTGGTCATCTACCTTAAGAACATGGCCATCCCTCTGAATGTTAACTCAAATGGGAGGAAAACACTGACAAGGGCACTATAGTTTCTTAATGTGTTCATGAAATCTTTAAAATTAACCTTTTTTTAAAGATTTTATTTATTTATTCATGAGAACCACAGAGAGAGAGAGAGAGAGAGAGAGAGAGAGGCAGAGACACAGGCAGAGGGAGAAGCAGGCTCCAGGCAGGGAGCCTGATGTGGGACTCGATCCCGAGCCTCCAGGATCAGGCCCTGGGCTGAAGGGAGCGCTAAACCGCTGAACCACCCGGGCTGCCCCATAATAATTACCCTTTTTTTAAGACTTTCTATTTAAGTAATCTCTACAGCCAACATGGGGCTGAAACTCATGACCTCGACATCAGGAGTCACATGCTCTACAGACTGAGCCAGCCAGGGGCCCCTTCAAAATTATCTTTTAATTAACACCATCAGACCAAACGTGAATATGAAAAATATCTATTTGACTTCTTCCATAGTCAATAATTCATTTGATTCACTGAAAATAGAGAAAAGTGGAATGGTTGTATAAAGAATAAATAACTCCACAAAATAACTCTCAACCATTAAATAGAGCCTATGCTTAAAAGAAATAAACTTCCAGTAGGTTATATTTCTATAAAACTTCAAAATCCCCCAAAATAGTCCTTGAATTTGTATTACTCAAATTTTAATTTATGTGAAACTGTTTCGGTGTTCTCATTATGTTTTAAATAAAGATTTGTTTTCATTTTTGCATTTAAAGACAAGAAAATCCATGTGTATAATAAAATTTGACAGGGAAGGGGATCTCTGGGTGGTTCAGTGGTTTAACGCCTGCCTTCAGCCCAGGGCGTGATCCTGGAGTCCCGGGATGGAGTCCCACATCAAGATCCCTGCCTGGAGCCTGCTTCTCCCTCTGCCCATGTCTCTGCTTCTCTCTCTCTCTGTATGTCTCATGAATAAATAAAGAAAATCTTTTTAAAAAATTTGACAGGGAAGATCCTTTACAATCATAATCATAATATTAATTATTATAACAATAATGAAAATGTATCAATCATTAATGTGCCAGTCACTGGACTAATAACTCTTTGTACATGATTTGCATATATTTTGCATAATGGTCTTTTGAAGAAGACATTATCTCCATTTTATAGGTAGAGAAACAAGGTATCTGAAAAGTTAAGTCATTTGGGGGAGCGCCTGGGTGGCTCAGTCAGTTAAGCATCCAACTCTGGAGTTCAGCTAAGTTCTTGATCTCAGGGTGGTGAAATTGAGCCCTACTTTGGGCTCCAAGCTGGGTGCGGAGCCTACTTATAAAAAAAAGTTGAGTCATTTTCTCAAGGGTCTTTGCAGTCAGATCACGGAAAGAGCCAGGATTCAAGTCCTAGTCTGTCTGATCCCAAGACCCAGATACTAAAATCTATGCGTACTGCCTCAGAAACCAAAAGAGAAAGATCTCATGAATTTATTTAAAAATTAAGTATTTCTGCATATCTCCCAAATCATCAGAAGGAAAAAAAAAACATTGAAATATGTATGTCAAAGAATCAATGTCCTTAAGTATATACAGGGATTCACACAAATGAATAAGGAAAAATAAGCAAAAGAACAAAGAATTCAAATAGTAAATGTATTAATTGAATTTTTTTTCACCTAAAACAAAAAGTATAAATTGCATTGATCCATCACTTTTATCTCATGATACTATCAAAGATTTCAAGGATTAATATATAAACTGTTTCAAGGATATGTAGGAATGAGCATGCTCATATACTGCTAGAATATGGAACAACCATAAACATAAAAGAAATGCACAATTTAGGAAGATCTAGTTTACAATTCTAACATCTCATTTCAAAAAATATGCTTCATGTGAAAAAAATAGATTATGTCATACACAGAGTGTGATCCCAATTTTGAGAGAGGGAAAAAAATACTTTAAAAAAAAAGAAAAAAGAAAAATTCTCGAAGTTTCTATGCTAAAAGTTAATTATCTTTGTTTATTTGGGGATTAATGGGACTGCACATTATTTTACTTTGACTTTATTCATCATTCACTATTATGCAGATTTTCAATATTATGAACTCATTTTATTGTTACACATACACACACAAACATGAACCAATTAATATAGCTACTGAGGCAAATATTCTTGATGGTAGCCACTCTTTCAGGTTTCAGTTCAGACTTAGTCCACATTCTTTCTTGCCCTGATGTTTTTGGGTGGCAATGTGCCCAGTCCCAGGAATGAAGAAGGATGGATCCACGCCAGTCATGGAAATCTCATTTCCCTTTGCTAGCAATTGGTTTAGAGGTAGTCATGGGACCTAGTTCTGGCCAATGAGATATAGGGTAAGTCTGTTGATGGCTTGAGGTTAAGATTTCTTTCTAATAAAAAGAGTGGCAGATATAGAGCGCTCTTTAGTTAATCATATCTCCCTCAATTGCTTTTCTGCTCTGGATGCTGTTGAATGAGGATGAGATATTTAGAGCTGTGCCAGACACCTGGAGACCATGAAAAGACATATCACTGACACACTGAAGAGGCAGAATGGAAGATATAGAAAGAACCAAGCCCAGGTGTTTGGTGATATATGTGAGCCACTGAAAGAACTCTGAAACTGTCAACTTCCAAGCTGTGTATTATGCACATTAATTAAATGTCTTTATTGTTTAATACTCTGTTGGTGGGGCATTGTATTCCTTGCAACCAATTATGTATTGTTTCAATAGTTCATGGGAAAAAAGGATATATAGACATATAGGTTTGAGCAACATGAATACATAAAGATATATATATATATATAGATATATATATAGATATGTAGATCCTATTACTTCCTGTTTTCTGAAGCGTCTTAGTTTTTCTTATGCCATCTATCTCTCTGGATATAAAACTCTCTTCCTCTCACTTGGATACTTGCCATCACCTTTGAGTTTTCTTAATCATATTTGTCCCAACCTTCCCTTACTTGCACTTCCTAATTCTGTATTCTATCCCCTTCAAATCCAAACTCTTGAGAAAGGTTTCTTTTACTCAACATCTCCAATTTCTCAACTTCTACTCTTCAACCCACTCCAATCCATCCACACTGATCGCTTCACCAAAACAGTGCTTGCTAATTTACTTATATGAGCTATGACCTCCGTGTTACCAAATTCAACTCAATTTGTTCGGTCTCTCTTCACCACTCCCTCTTTATGGAAATACTTTGTCCTTTTGGCTTTTGGTCTTCTTTCTACATTTGGGTTTTTCTTTGACCTCTAAGATTGGTCTTTCTCAGCTTCCCTTGCCATCTCATAGCCCAGTAAATGCTGGGATTCCTCAAGGCTGATTCCTAGACCCTTCACTCCTCCCACTTTCTATTCTCCCTTATTAATGTCTTTGGCATCGATTACCTTTTGTGTGTAGATAACTCATAATATCTCAGACTCATAAATCCAACATTTCTGGGGTGCCTGGGTAGCTCAGTGGTTGAGCATCTATCTTTGGGTCAGGGCATGATCTTGGGTCTAGGGATCAAGTACTGCATCAGGCTCCCTGCAAGAAGCCTGCTTCTCCCTCTGTGTCTCTGCCTCTCTCTTAGTGTCGCTCATGAATAAATAAAAATCTTTAACTTTTTTTTTTAAATCCAACATTTCTTTTTCAATATCTCAAAGGCGTCTCAAGCTCACCATCTGTACTTGTGGTCTTCCTACTCAAATCTGGACCTCTTCTTATAGTTCCTGTCTCAATGAATGGTACGAACATTGATCCAGCTATATAATTCTGAAATCTAAGAATAGTCTATGAGACCTTCATTTT